GGACTTGCTTAACCCATGGAACATTTTGAGCCACGTATTTTCTTTGTATTTTGTGTCAGCAGAGGCTTATGGTAAGGATGCTTCAGGTAAGTTCTAGAAGAAGAGTTATTTATTTTTGTAATTTCTGGCGTTTTTAAGATGTATAGTTTCCCCTAGTGGTATGGTAGATACCATGTGATTTGGTTTATTTTGATCCAGCAGTTCTTTCCAAGGCACACCTCACAATTAAGCTTTTAAGTGGAAGTGGACTTGTACAGGAGCTTCAGGATGCGGGGCACAGTTTATGAAAATGCTTGAATGTCTTACTAGGGAGAGAAGAGCTGCTGTAAAGGTAATGTAATGATTCCTTAGCAATATTGAGCTTGGCTGCTGTTTCTTTCAGTTTTCCTTTGCTGCTTAATACTTTACCATGGAGATGAGATACTTTCCAAGCCATCAGCCTCAGTCACTTGAGCTGACAGAGGCTAGCATGGTATTAGGAGTGCACTGAGTAGCTAAGCCATTTCCTGTGCAGTGGAATACTAAGGTGCATATAGAAAGAAGGCAATTCATTGTTATATTATGTTGTCTTATACAAAAGGTCAACTTCTAGAATCCGGGTCCTTCTCTTAGATAGTTCCTCCAAGTTGGGGTATGCTGCTGTGTGTGTGTAGCAGTGGGAGTAGGTTTTTTGTTTCATTTTTTATTTGCCCAGCTACGTATTAGGCATAGAAAGTGGGAAAATGTCCCATTCTGATGTGAGAAATGTAGTTTCCTTGGTTTGAGAAACAAGGACTGGACAATGATATGACAATGATGAACATTTGCTATTCTTAAGGACCATGGCTTAGCAACGTTTGGAGTACTAAAAAGCTGTAAGTGCTAACACCAGCACTTCCACTGCATCTTTCATTTGAGAATCTCTCTGTTCTTAATGAATTTTCAGTGTGTCTCTGTGAGGCTGGTATTATTAGTGTCATTTTGCAGACAAGTAGATAAAGTAAAATGCTTGTATAAGCACATTCAGCAAGCCAGGAAAAGCAGGAATAAAATTCAGGAATACTAATATTTCAACCTGGTTTTGAGCTACTATCTTGTACTTTTTTCCAGAAAAGAAAGATATGAATTTTGGTAGCTTTCCTGCTTCCATCCTCCTCTTTTTTTTTTTCCCCACTGGGTTAGGCTGCATAAAAGCAGACATTATTATGCAACATATCTAAGTGTGCATGTGATACTTGAAAAAATGGTAATCAGATAAGTTGCCAGGCAACAGTACCCTGCCTTCAATTACCAAAAAGCCAGTGAGTGTGCTTTCATGATATAACATGGGTTCTGTACTTCTTCGTAAAGAAAGTGTAGGTGGAGTTTTGTAAGAATTGCTCTTTTTTAACTCATCTCCTGCTTAATCTGCCATGTTGTGAGGTCAGATTTGACTCTAGTTTTAGAGAAAAGTATTCACCAAACCTGAAATCACTAACAGCGGAGTTAGATGAGCTTTCAAAGATAATAAACGGTATGTGAGCTTATATGAGTAAATAACCATTCCCTGCAATGGGTCTGTGAGTGTTTGATGGTTCAACAGCTTAACAACAAGTAGGTCAGAGCTCATCCTTGAAATGAAATGAAAATTAAGAAAATGGGTGAAAGGTTTATGTTAAAAGGTAGATGACAGGCGTACATGGCAAGCTGTGAGAAGTATTAAAACACTCACAGTGGCCCCTTGGCCCAAAAATACTGAGAGCCATGGTAATTTATGAAAATAGGAATGTAAATCCAGCTGGTTCATTTTCATTGCCTTAGCAGAAGCAGAATGGAAGGAACATAAGCAAGGATGAGTGTACACAGATGAAAAAGTGATAGTCTAATAATGGAAAAGAGCATGAGGGAATTCAGTTGTGTGTTTGAAACCTGAGTTTAATTTCTTTTTCAAAGATACTGCAAGATAACAACAACAACAACAAATAAAGACTCTTGGAAGTTATTTAAATGCATTTTTTGTTTTGGCAATAAATAGCTACAGAAGCATTTGCAGAGACTGTAGTTGTGTGGGAATGCAGGCATCTGCCCAAGCCTCTTTAGCTGTTGGGTGGTGGCACGGCTTTTAGAAGAAATCTGAAACTCTAGAACTCTAATGTGCTTCTCAGGGCTTTGTCAGAGATTTTCAGTGGAGATAAGGGACCCACCTAGATATATCTGGGAAAGGATGTACATAACCTTGAAATCACTTATTTTCCTCAGGTAACTGCAGGTTGTTTCTTTACAGAGTTGGTTTTCCAATTATTCTTTTTGTTGTTCTGGAAGGAGCAGAAGGCATTTTCATTTCAGGAGATGAGGGACTGTGTCCTATGTGTCCCTCTGCAGTATTTTAGTCTAGTGCAGGAACAGGTTCAGAAGTCCTCATCAAGAGACATGGTGGGACTTCAGTTAAAAGGGAAATCTGCATCATCCTCTGTTAAAGTCCTGCCAAAACAGGGGGAGTTTCTGAGAAGACATACTCACTTTCTGTTTCCAAATTTGGCACTTTCTTCCCAGGAGAATCTCAGATAAGTCACGGAGCAATGTTGTGACTTGATTTTTCTGTTGCACATCTTATCACCGTTTAGTTGCATGGACCTGAGCTTTCTTTGTTGAGAACTGTAGGAATAATGAAGGGATGTAAATACTAAAATAGATAATTGAAGGAACGCACAACTAACCACTTTCTAGTTAGGAATTTGCTTTCCTTTTTGTTTGCTTTTCTTTGTATTCTCATTTGATGAGCAGTACTGCTAGATTATGCTCACGTGCAGTCCCCAGCCTGCTGACACCAGGAATGTGTCAGAGGAACAGAGAAGGAACTGCTGTTTTGGGAAGTCTGAGATTTTAGTTTTAAACTATTTTTGTATATGCATGTGGATGTTCACACTACTCTTAACTGGTTTTTTTTTGTTTGATTTACCCTTACTACAAACGCTACACATTTTTAAACATTAGTATTTTGACACAGAAAGCCCATTTATATACAAAACAAAAACCAAATCCCCTCTTCTGAACAGTTTAAGCTTTGTATTAATTGTGTGATCCTTAAGGTCAAACCTTCAGCTCTACTGCTCTGCTCACATGTATAATGCAGATTTTCTTCAGTGAGTGTTTTCTTTCAAGCATAGATACATTTGTAACCAAAGGTATAGTTTCTCCAGCACTTTGAGTTCAAAGTAATGAAGTATTTGTGAAAAGGAGCTTCTTCCTGCTGAGCTGTATGCTGTGAGCCAAAATCTGAGGGATGATGATGCAGCTGAAAACTAGCAGGCTTTAGGGTAGCGTGGGGCGGCATTCAGAGGCTGGTGAGTTCCTTGGTCTGGTTGCAGGTGCAGCCCCATGGGTGGCCTGAGCCTGGTGCCAGGGAGAGGGATGGACTGAGCAGGCTATGTTGTCCTAAAGTTAGTTAGACTTGAAGCCTTTTGTAATGTTCATGTTTCTACATTAAGGAGTTGGGAGTGTGTTGCAGTTGCTTATTTTGTATGATTTTGTTCCTCGGTCTTTTACATATCAAATAATAGACAAGTAAGTCTGACTACGTAAAAAGCATTCTCAGTGTTCTTGTGATTCTAGGGAAATGCCTTTTGAAATTTAGTTTGCATATGTCTGATAAATAGTTCAGTAGAAATCTGTGGCAAGTATTCAACTGTGGCAAACTGCATATAAGAAAATGGGTTACATGCAAATAATTTTTAGGAATCTTGATGTGACAACAACTTATACCAAAGCTAGACAACAAACAAATTCTTTCCCAGTCTGATATACAAATATGTAGCTAGTAAAATAGCAACTATTTCTCATTATAAGAGAGACTCCAAAGTAGATGCAAGCTTCAGGGCATAGGGAGAAGGTGCTAGATGTCTCTCAATAATATCCATATTACATTGATTTAATTAGTGGGTTTATGCTATTCACTGCTCCATTAATCTTGTTGGGAAGATTTTTTGGGGGGAGGATTAGTTCTTTAACATGCACTTTTAATTGGAGTGGTTTTTGTAGTTCAGTGTCATCTAAATAAAACCAGTGTAGGTTTGTTTTGTTCTATTTATTAAGGAAAACATGTCTCTCAAATTCCTCTTGATTTCTGATGTTCAGAAGTCCTGAGATGTATTAGAAAACGTGAAGAACCCATTTGTTACGCTGTATGACACATAAATATCCTTGCTTTAATTTCTTCATATGCAGTTAATCCAGAAAAATGCTATGTATACACAATCCCTTGGGTTGTAAGATCTGTGAGGCTGATGTAAATAAGGTGTTGGGTACTTGCCTGTTGAAGCTGTCACCTTGAGGCATCCTAAATGTCAGCATTCGAAGAGGGGAGCCCCAGCTCATGGATTCCACTTGCTTGGATCATGCAGCTGTGCTGCCTGAGCCCAGCAGGGAGGTATCACTGGAGCAGGACTGCCAGTGTCCCCAGGAACAGGTTGGGGTGATGGGTGGGTGGCAGTGCCAAGGGTCTGCTTACATGAAGGCCACATGCTGTCCTGGAATGGGGAAGAGAGAAGAAAAGTGTGGTGATTGGAGAAGTGAGGACGAGAGGAGGTTGAGGAAGATAAGGAGGAAATGTTAGGAGAGATAGGATGGAGGTGGAAAGGTGTCAGCAGCGAAGCTTACTTAAAAAATTGAGACATTGATGGGAAAATAAAGGTAAAGCAATTTCTGGTAGACTCTCCAAGGGTTCACTGAGTCCTCGGCTGAGATGGTAGCAGTGAACCTTTGGTCACTGACTCCAGTGAAGTTGCTCTGTGTGTTTGCTGTGGCTGAGATCCAGGAGGACAGTGCAGAGCAGCAAGGCTCAGCCTCACCCAAGGAGAGGCAGCTGTCAGGGTGCCGCCCTGGGCAAGGGGCAGGTACAGCTGCTGTGTGGGGGCTCTGAAGAAGTCAGTTCTTCCAGGGCCCAATGTACAGGAGCTAAGCTATCCATACACATAGCTCATTCAGTGTTTAAAACCTCTCTTGCATTGTGCTGTATTAAGATTAAAAGGTACTTTTTGTTTTAGGAAGGCTGTCTGGTTGCTGTAGTAGCTGTTGTTCACACACACCTGGGCTGAAAACGACTGGCATCTGAAACTCTTTGGACTTGCTGGAGGCAGTCTAGTCTACCTGCGGATGTTGTGAATTAGGAGCTGGCCAAAGAGTGGGAGAGCTCCAGGATCCCTCCCCGGAAAAGGTAAGGTCTGGAGGTTAAAACTGGTGGGACTGCACTTGTAGACCAGAAAAACACAGCAGTTGTTGGAGTACAGAGCTGACTGCATTGTAGATGGGACCTCTGAAATTTAAATATGTAGAGTGCAAAGTTATTTCCATAGGTTTAAACCTCAAGTTGTTTTCTGGAGGTGTAAGATTGCCATTTGCACACATCACCCTTGATTTCTGTCTGCTGTGAGTCACATCATTCTGATTGCTTGTACTTTATGCAGCCAAACTTTTCAGTGTTATTGTCTCTTTAAAACCTCACACTCTGATAGCCTTAGGCAGTTAAAACAATCAGGACAGTGGAGCAGTATCTCTGAGCTAAACCAGAGCAGTAGGTAAAGAGCAGAGAGTTGCTCTCTCCTGTGAAAGCACAGGTGTGAGTCGGATGATGAGGAATCTATTCCTGGCCCTAACAAGCAGTGCAGTCTCTGCACCTGATTCACCAGTGTGTTACTCTACTAATCTTCTTAGCCTCATCTTGTCACTCCTTTATGCTGTGGCAATCAGTTACACTTCCACAGAGTGCATGCAAAATGCTATCAATTTGGAAGGGTTATTTATATCCCGGAGCAAAAGTTTATATTGATTCTGGTTAGTGGGGTGGACGCTGTGGGACCAGAACAATTGCCAGACCCTGCAGCATTTTTGACACGCTCTTTGTGTCTGCAGTATGTGGCATGGTTCAGGCTACAGTATTGTTTTCCTTATTGTAGATGGGTAGGTTGCACACAGTACTTTAGCTGGGAACTCACTTTGAATATGTAGATGTTCCATGTATAAACTTCAGGTACATGTAGCACCATCATCCCTCAGTCTCTCCTGTCTCCGGTGTCTCATTACCCTTTCCTAGTTGTAGTGCCCAGGAGATCCTATGTTGGGTTATTGTCCCACTCCTCTGGGTATTCTTGCTGATAGACCCCTGATCTTCTCTGAGACTGGGGAACAGACCCAGTCAGATGCTGAAGGAAAGCAGTAGACGTAATTGTGGCAATGCTAACAGTGTGGATAAGCAGGGTCAGTTCCTGCCCAGAGCTCCAGCTGTGATTTTGCTGCCCATTGTGTAACTGATTACAGGGCTTCAGTTGGTCACCAAGTGTCGTCTATTGAGTGACAAAGTCCAGACTAGTGCTGGAATGTTATAGCAAAGCAAGTGTCAGCATCTTCCTGAGAAAGCAACTGGTGGTGGACTGAGCTTTGTATGAGTCCGGCTGTTATGTCAGTGATGCAGCCATGCGTATTTCTGAAGCTGTGTCTGGCAAGTGCTCTGGTGTGTGCTACTATTGCTGCAAGTAGAGCAAATGCTTCTTCTTGCCTGTCCTCAAGAACCATCGAATGTAGGAAAGTCTCCTATTACTGTTAAAACAAAAACCGAGCACCGTATGGGCACAAGAAAACATAGATCCATTGGCAGCAGAACAAGACCATGAATAATTTATTCCTCCAATGCCTCCTGTAGGTTCCATCCACTCAGGCTGTTCAGGATGCTGTCTGTTGGAGATGCAGGTAGATCTGTTTTCAAAGCTGTGGGGACAAGACCCTGCAGACTGTGATCACCACTCTTGAGCTTGTCCTTCGTTAAACTGGCTTGGGCATTGTTGTGACATCCTTGAGGACACAGAAGTAACCTCTTATCATCCCTTGGGCTGTTGGTAAGAATACTTGTAACACCAATGAACTTGGGACACATCTGCTAATACCAGCCTGGAACTGTCTGTGAGGTGAGGGGCAGTGAGTTAGGAGCAAGATGGAAGCCCTGGCTGCTCTGGTCCATTTTGCAAAAGGGAGGTGGAAGAGCTGCATCTTTTGTGTAGCACTGCTTTGTTTTTCATAAGAGAACTTAGACTGTCAGTTTGTTCCTAGCCCCCTGAGAAGCCAAAATGTGCTCTGTTAAAAGTTCCCTGAGCCCAGGCAGGATTTCTCTGTCCATGCAGAGTGCTCTAGTGAAGATGAATGTATTTAAATGGCTGCTTGGGAACATCTGTAACACATAGTTTTTCTCAGCTCATTTACTATTAGGCATTTGTCTATGCAATGGTTGTCAGCTGGCAGTTGAATTCCAGAGGCACTGAAGACTTACAGAGCTGCAGAGGCTCAATTCTTCTCCAACTCTTCTTGAACTGCTGTGGGCTCAGGTAAGAGGTGCCCACTGTGAGAGAAGTTATTGCTGAAGGTTTGTTCAGAGGCTGTTCTTCAGCATAAAATGTACATACTTAGATGCAGAGGGGTTTTAACGTTTTTTTTTTTTTTTTGCTTCTCACTGGTTAGTATGAAGATTCCTTCAGCCATTTTGCATACCCAGGCTGCACTGTTCATGCCATATTTCAGATTTTTGAGCATTTTCCCCATTTTCCCTTCTGCATCTCTCAGAGTTGCTCTTGGCTATCAGGCTTTTGCTGAGATGGATTCTGATTTTTAGTGTGGAAAAAGCTACCTGTAACTAGCAACAGTTGTAGAAATAATGGTCTTAAAGCAGAAGTTCAGCCTTTGCATTTATAGCTGTCTTGTAATGTGCCTTACTGCATTTTGAGAGCACTTCAAATGTTCTTAAAGAGCTTCTTGGAGAGGAAGGGAATGTTACTTCTGTCAAAACAAGACACTGTAGCTTGTGTTCAGAACAGTTTTCAGCTTCCTATTATGTCAGCCAGCTGGATATGCTCTAGAGTGAGTCACCTTTGGAGTTGTCCTAGTCCAGATGCTGAGGGAAACTGTGGAGGCTAAGATAAAATCCCAGACTGCATTTGAAGAGTCCTCACTAAAAAAAGTGGTGGAAGCATGCTCAGGGGAATGACTGCCCTGCTGGGTTTAGAGGCTGGCTAGGTTTCACAAAGAGAGCTATCAAGAAAGAAAGGGTTGCTTCTGAAGAAACTAAAATGTATTTGTCATCCTATGGCCTGGACCAAAGTGAAAAGGCGATAAACTGGAAACATACCTTTTTTTGTTTGTTTTTTATCAGTGAAAGACAAACAGAGCATGCAATGGATTTGTGGTTTCCATAGTGATGTAGCTATGGAAGCTTTTGTGCAGCTGAGCTTTGCCCTCGCTGCAATCACACTTGAAAGCTATGAGTGTTCAGCTTTCCTGCCAGGGAAATGTAAGTATGTATCAAACATGAAACTGGCTGAAAATACAGCTGCATTTTCATGAATTGTTATGTTTGCTATGTTACCCGAATATGTGGATGTTTAGAAGCTCAGCTCATTTCTCCTTTATCTGTTCTGCATTGGAACAGTGCATCCAACTATATTGATACCACAGTTCTTGCTGCACCAGGCAGTGATATATTGACCTCTGTCCTTTATTTCTGTCATCTGTATATACACACACATCCTACAACACTGGTGCCCGTGACTGTAGCCACACTGATTTCAAGCATGCATTGGTCAGGAAATGTATGTGTAACTCTTTCGGGTCACACTAGCTGGCTAAACACCACCCTGTGAAACTGGACAGGTGAAAACTTCATGTTGTTCATAGGCACCAACTCACTTGTCCCTGTATCTGACATTAAATCATGCTTTATTTTAATGGGCATTTTGGGAGTGTTTTAATAGTCAAAATACAAGCAATACAACAAATTCCTTGGGGAATTTTTGCATGTGGGGAGAGCTGTTTCTGACTGTGAAGGGTTGATTAATTCTGGCTTTCAAAACAGGTTGGAGGTGGAATTTTTCAGCACCTCAGTGATGAGATTACCAGTGGGTCCTAGAGGCAGGAAAATGCTCGATGTGAATGTTGTATGCACACATCAAGCAATTATGCACATGCTAGTCCTGCACACACACTTGCATTGTCCACGGACATTTGTGCCTCATCTTCTTTTTTACTTGTATTGCTGCTGCTGCTGGATGCTTTCTTGCTGTCTCCCTGAACAAATCTGCCTTACCTTCAGCATTTGTTTTGCTTGTCTAATGGATGTAATGGGTCATCTGTTCCCTTTAAAGAAAGGAATGTTAATTATTTTCAGAAGGCTAATTAGGTTGCTAATGAGAAACTCTACTGCAGAAATATTTCCTTTAATTACTCACTCATAAGTGCTGTACAGACGAGGTTATTGAATATGCTGTTAAATACAAATGCTTGTATCTGGCTTAAAGATGCACCTTCAGGCTCCCTGAAAGAAATATTTTGGTAAACTTGGGAATCCATGTGACAGATGACTGAGCAAATGAGACTGGTGCTAAGAGCTGCCTAGTTGTGCAGCCTTTTTGACTGCACCTCAGTTTGGCACTTCTGCAAGTGACTGGATGCAGTTGCTCTTCGTATTTCAGTTTTCCTAATGACTTTTGTCGGTATAGGTAACTATTTGTGCTACCTGCCAGCCCAATCTGTAATTAGATGCAGCCCTCACACCAAAAAGTTTAGCCTAATCAGCCAGATGGCAGTCGGAGGCACAGAGAGATGGAGTGACATGTCCAAGGTGACATTGCAGATCATGGCAAACCTAGTAACAAAGCAGAGGTTTTATCAGTCCTGTGTTAGTTCACTGCACGGTTTGCCCCATGTGCCCCTCTTAGGGCCAGCATAGCTCATTATAAGACTTGCATCATTTTGCATATTGCTTCATGAGGCAGCACAGCTGCTCAACAGCCCCATTTGTGTAGCCACCTTGGCACTGACTTAGGATGGTCCTTTTTCTTCTCCATCTGAGTCCTGTCTTCTACTTGCTTCACTTCCTTGTTGTAGTGATACCAAATTGGACAGAAAATAAACTTTCTAACACAATTTGAAATATTAGAAAGCAGGCATTCTTTATTACAGTGCTGGACACTTTCAGAGATCTCTCTAATCAAATGTATGTCGTGAAACTTTACCACAGGGTATTTATTTCATCATGATTATACACATTCATTACAATGTACTTCCTAACTAATACATAAACATCACTTTCCCTAGAACTTGCATTCATCTGCCTCCTACTGGAAGGCCTTTTATGGTCCTGGAGAGTCATCTAAAGAAGTCTCTGGTTGTAGTTAC